GCGGGAGCCGCTCCAGCCGCTGTCGGAGCCCCAGTCTCCCAGCTGACCCGGTCGAGGCTGAGCGGAGAGCTGGTCACCAGACGGCTCTCGGTTGCCGCAGTTTTGGTGCTAGGGAAGGGAGGGGAAGGACCTCCCTCCTCAGCCTCCCTCCCCCACTCCCGGGCAGGGATGAATTCCAGAATAAAGAGAAGCCACCGGGCTTGGAGCGAGGACCCAGACCCTGGGGCTGGAAGAGGACTTCGTTCAGGGTATTCACTCACTGATTCTCCCAAGAGAACTCCCAGCGCCTGAGCGGCGGTGGGTTCCCAGGCATATAAGGCGGGGCTCCTGCAAGGATACCATTGCTCCTGGGGCCTATGAGCTTTTCCAGGGTCTCAGAAAACGTTTTGAGACCGGGACAATAAAAGGCTCCACTATAGGAGACCTGGAAAAATCAAAGTTAATCAATATTTAATGAAATGCCTGTCAAATCTAATCCACTGCAACACAGCCAGCCCTTACATATAATATATATATAAGTATACTGCATGGTTAAGTTACAAGGTGAAAATCAATGATTCCTCCTCATTACTAAGAACGGAAAAGGATTTTTTTAAAAATCTCTCCAAGAATTTTTACACCAGGTGTAGATATTTAACGTGGGCTATGTGAACGCTTGAGTACATGTGATCAGATGTTACATGCCCAAGCCTAAGATGCTCCCAGGCCTGCAAGGAAGCGAGTAAAACAAAACAAGGCAGGAAGCGATGAAAGATCTGGGGGAATTCAGAGGGCTCTCTAAGGCAACTGAGGGCAGAGCAGATTTCCTGAGGAAATCTAAATCTGTCCTATTATTGTCCCTCTGTCCTTGCTCCTCTGGTTACCTGCCCCCACCTCCTGGCTTGGGCAGCTGCCCCTTGTCCCACATTTTATGACTTGGCTCCATGAAGAGGCAGTCTGCACACGGAATACCAATTAACCATGATCTACGTGCATGAGATGGATCACTCTTATTATTTGAAATGTGTTTAGAGAAGATCACAGGAGGCCTGGTAACGCCATGCTAACAGGAGGACGCGTGGTTTCAGTCCACCAAACATTACGGGGAAGAAGAGAGCTAGCCATGTATCTGTAAAACGTTACAGTCTAGGAAAATCCATGGGAGACTTCTGTTGTGTGAGGATTCCGGCTTAAATGTACAGCAGAACAAAGCATCACTCAATCCCATGCCATCCTCACAATTGCTCTTCTGTTTGAGTCTATTGTTGCAGCCATTAGGTTGATCCATCTTGTCAAAGGGTCTTCCTCTTTGTTGCTGCCGCTCTACCAAGCATGATGTCCTTTTCCAAGGACTGGTCTCTCCTGAGACGAGGCTCAAAGTCTTGGCATCTTTGTTCATACAGGATTGCTGTGAGTTAGAATCAACTTGAAGGCTACAGGTGGACTTTGCTTTGAGTCAGAGTTTTCCACGCACAACAACGGGGAACGCGAGACTGTAAGGCCTGCCTCGAAGTCTTGTCAGTCACCAACATCACTTCTGAAAGAGGAATCTGCACCCAAGAGCCCCTATAAGTCTCTGAACTTTCCAACTCTGCACTACCGGAGGCCATGGGCAGAGCACTCCCTAGAATCAAGCAGCACACATGGCATTAGTTGTAGTGAGAAATCAATAATCAAAACAATGGCCTTGAAAGTCTCTCTAGCCCTGGGGACCCTGCTTTTTCAACTGTCTGGTAGACATCTCTATTGGGGTGGGAGGGAAACCGCAACTGCAGTGGCCCCCAAACTTGTTTACTTCCATCTCACTGTCATCCCACCACCGCACAACCTTCCAGACTTCCTTTTGACTGAGTGGAACCCATCTTGAAATGTCTTTGGTTCCGTCCACTCCCTTGCTCTCCACATCTAGTTTCCCTCCACCTCGATCATCCTCCTCAGGTGTGCTCTTCCGACGCCAGTCTCATCCTGGGTACCAACCACCATCCCCAAATCTGCTACAGTTGGGTGCTTCCAACTGTATAAATAAAGCCAAACTCCCTGCCATCGAGTCCATGCTGACTCATAGTGATCCCCTGTGCGTTTCTGAGACTATAACTGTTGACGGGAGTAGAAAGCCCAGTCTTTCTCCTTCAGAGCGGCTGCTGGTTTCCAACTGCCCACCCTGAGGATCGCAGCCCCGTGTGTCAGGACTCCTGATGTGGCAAGTGTCTTTGGTCATACAGGCAGTAGAGAATGGTGAGGAACACGTGGGATTTAGAACCAGCCAGACCTGGCTTTGAGTCCAGTGCTGCCATTTACTAGGTGTTTTACAACCTTTGACAAATGAATTAACCTCATCTAAAACGAGAAGATGCGAGTACAGTCCTATATACCAATAACGAGCAAGACAATTTCCTGGAGCAGAGGGAATCACATGCTATGATAAATAAACCATCAAGAAATTGGTGATGTCTTTTTTCTTAATCCATAGACTCATCCTAAAAGGTTGAGAAAGTCTTCTCTTCCCCTTCAGAGTAGTTTTTGCTGGAGAGCTCAGCTGTTTTTTATTCCCAGAAGAAAGAGTTCACAACCCATTGTTTTGTAGAGTACAGGTCAGAAGTCCAAGTTCATTCCCTCCGGGGAGTGACAGCCCAGAAAACGGTTTTGTTCCATCTGTACAGGGCTGATACGCGGCATTAAAATTTTTTTGAATACATTCCAACGTTCAGAAATCAAACTGTCAGTCGTCCTTAGGAAACTAGAAACCCAAACCCAAAGGAGATACCCCTTCACACCCATTCAAATGGCTCTGATCATGAAAGACGGTGGTGACAAATGTTGCCCAGAGGGCGGAGTGGCAATGAGCAATGGTGCATCCGTGTCAGCAAATCGTTTGTCGGGTGTTAAGAAGTTAAACATAAACTTGTCACGTGACTAGTATTTCTGCCATTGGGATAGAATTTACTCAGGAAAGGGGAGAGCAAATATCACCACAAAGACTTGCATGCAAACGTCCTTAGCGCCATTAGTCTTCATAAGAGCCACACACACACAAAGCAACAATCCAAAGGTCCATCGGTTGGTGGCTATGGGTAGACAACACGTGCTCTCTCAGTCTATGCCATGGGACGCAAGTTAACGATAAAAGGGGACAGCCCTTTTAATCATGTGAATAAGCCTCTAGAGATATTTCCTGTTGCAGACATGAGAAATCACAGATCGGGTAATCCCATTTATAGATAATATCCATAAAAGACGAAACTGGAGATGGCGATTAGGAGAGCCCAGTGACTCAGTGACTTAACAGGTGGGGCTGCTAATCAAAATGCCAGCAATCCTAACTACCAGCCACTCTGCAAGGGAAAGAGGAGGCGCCCTCCTCCCGAATAGATTCATCATCTTGGGAACCCATAGGTGCCAGTTCTTCTCTGTCCTATGGGGTGACTATGAATTGACATCAAATCAATAGCAGTGGGCATTTTTATTTGTTTCGTTTTGGGGGTGCTGGGGTTGGGGGAGTAATAGGGAAGGGAAGTACAATGGGATTAAGAATAAATGGGTATGAGGGTGACAAAAAGATCCTAAAATACTAAAAATGTCCTAAACTGCTGTATAGTTAAATGGCTTATATATAAGATATGCTTCCATGAAGTTATTTTTAAATTTGTAAGTTGACCTTGAAAGGAAAAAAATCTAGAGTTACGAACATGAATATCTAGAATTCTAGCTTCCTTTGAAAAATCGAAAATCTGGGACTTCAGCAATTTGTTGATGTTGGTAACTGCTGCACCTTTTTAGACAATGCGTGTTCTCCAGTTTGACTCGGTCACCACCACTCAATCGTCTCTTAAAGCTGACCTACTTCATTCATTCACATTATTTGCTTTGTCCTTCTCCCCATCTCACCCCCAATTCAACTAACTTTCATTCAGCATTTACTAGGAGCCCCAGTGGTGTAGTGGTTAAGCGATAACTGCTCACCATGGGCTCAGCAGTTTGAAACCAGCAGCAGCTCTGAGGGAGAAAGGTGAGGCTTTCTACTCTCCTGATGAGTTACAGGCTCAGAAACCCACAGGGACAAGTCTACCTTTATAGGCATTGCCTCGACTGCAGTGAATTTGGTTTTTGAGTTTACTGCATGAAGGATCCTGGCAACAGACTAGAGTGTGGGGAACAGAGTCAAGCAAAGCTCAAACACGCGGGCTAGGTTGGGCCATTGCCTGGTCTTTGGAAGTCTGAGCTTTCAATCCCAGTCTAGGCCTAT